AGATTCTGCAGAGTGGGAGAATAGAGATAGAATGAAGCAGAATGATTAAATAGGGGTCCCTATGTCCTCCAGCAGTCTAAGCCTATAGCAGCAGAACTATAGAGATAGATCAGGATTTCATCTTTCTGTGTATTAACTGGATCTGTATCTCTTGTAAAGCGCCCGGAGCTTCGGAGAATTTTATCACTAAATTAACTCAGAAAAGTTTGAAAGAAAAGTTTTTTTTTGGTTCAATTACTCCCCCCCCCCCAACAAACACACACACACACACACACACACACACACACACCACCCCCGCATCCTAAGCCATGAATCAGGGAAGGTAATGCTTGACAGAGTGGCCTGTATTGCTTTGAATGGCTTCTATGTCAGGAAATGCTCTGTTTAATATCAGAACATTTAACCTAATAATCTCACAATTACAAACCTAAAACATTCTGCTATGTCTTTGCAGCTCAGTATAAAAAAAGCTACCTAACAAATGCTAATAAAGATTAGATTCATCATGAGTAAAAAACACTTCTACCAGCCTGCATAAATGCTTCTGGGTTCTAGATGCTGCTTGACAAAATCCCTAATTAATGTGCTTCTTTCTTTCTTGACCTGAGAGACAACAACAACCTTGGGTTACCAGGCAACAAAAATCCAGGGATTAAAAAGAACGTCCATGACTGGGACGGGCGAAGGATATTATGAGTTTCCATGACTTTTTCTAATCATTCTAAGCTCTATCTGGATTAGAGGGAAGGGTCAAAGTAACCGGGTGAATCATTGAGATCAGCGATAAGGTTGGCAGGTATCAACTAATCCAGGAAGTAACCAGGTATAAAATTAGCTAAATTGAAGCATGAGTCCCTAATATAAAGGGGTCTTGCAAAGAGGCACGATGAAGAGAAATTTCGCCTCGACATGGTAACAGTCTGCATCTGACTTTCAGTCCCCTGCAGCTTAACACATTTCAATCATCATGTCCTTTTGTCTCCATGTTACAGGTATCTGCTACGACTATGGGCTGCGTGAAGTCAACCAGAGTGTCTCTTCTCCTGTTGTGTTTTCTACTGAATGTAGCGGATTATTCAAGCTGTAAGGATTTACCCCACATTTAAAACTATTACAGTCTTACAAAGCTTCAGCTTTACAACAGATATTCTTTTGAGAATCGGAACATAAAGAAAGAGGCACAGAGCTAAAACTAAGAAAAGAAGCAGAGTTTTACTTTAACCTTCATTTGATATCAGCCCTATTCCACTCTGCTCTCTCCCTCTGCTCTTGCAGTGGCCTGTGAGGGATGCACCCCGAGACTGAACAAGTTTTTTGCTCACTATGGGTCAATCTACCAGTGCATGGGTTGCTGCTTCTCTCGAGCGTACCCCACCCCTCAATCAGCCCTGGAGACCATGTCAGTCAAGAAGAACATCACTTCAGAGGCATGGTGCTGTGTTGCAAAGCACAGCTACGAGGTAAAGGCAGCAGGGAGCCAAATAGACAATAAACATACCAGAAAAAAGATTATTATTTAAAATAAATATACAACACTGCAAAAAATGGAAATCTAAATAATAAT